AGGCCAATACTTTAAAATGCATTTAATGTGTCATATTAATACGTGGACCTTCCCTCCTATTCTGAACGTGACAGCCCCTCCTTCTCAGATTAAAATGCAAATCCAGAGAGGTCAAGAGACTTGGCCAGTATCACACAGCTAAATAAATATAGCACAGCAAGGACTAGTCACCAAGATCCAGAAATGTAACACCACGCTCTTTAGGAGACAAGAGGTAGAAAATTCCAACAAGAATGGTGAATAAGGGTAATAGTTGCTGAGCAGTGACCATGTGGTGGTCCCAGGCTAACTGCTTTCCAAGGCCAGTCTCATGAATCCTCAACCTACAGATAAGAACCTGAGACTCCGAGAGGTGAAGCAACCTTCCCAAGATCACACAGCTATTAAGTGGCCGATCTGGGATTGAATCTCAGGCCATGTGACCGGAGCCTGTGCTGTTCCGACCAGCCAGATTGACTCTCTGGGGGCTTCAGGAAACATAACTGGGTGAATTGGGTGGGGGTGGCCACTGAGATGAACCTCAGAGCTTCCTGAAGCAGGCAGATGCCACTCAGCAGCAACCAGCAGTTGCTGTGTGGAAATGCAGGTCCAATGTCACCAGACCCACTGAATTCTCCAGAGACATCCGATATCTAGACGTCTGTGTGAAATCTCCCAGTTTTTTAGATGTTGGCAACTGATTCTAAGTTGGTTTTAAAACACCATGCATAATAGAAACTAAAGAGATTTCACAGCCAAATACAATAAGCCTTGACTGCATCCTGATTTGAAAAACCAAGCTCTAAAAGACATTTTCAGTATGACTGAGAAACTTTAATATGATTGGGTAGTTGATGATATTATGGAATTTCTGGTTTTTTTCTTGAGTGTGGTAATGGAATTGTGGGAGAATGCTCTTGTTCTTAGGAGTTCCACGCTGAAATATTTAGGGACTAAGTGTCATGTCTGCAACTTATTTTCAAATATCTCAGGGAAGGAAGGAAGGAAGGAAGGAAGGAAGGAAGGAAGGAAGGAAGGAAGGAAGGAAGGCAAGGGAGGGAGGGAGGGAGGAGGCAGGAGAGAGGGAGGAGGAGGGGAGGGGGAGGAGACGGGGAGAGCGGGGAGGGGGAGGAGGGAGGAAGAGGATGGAAGCGATGGGAGATAGGGAAAAGAGAGAGGGTGGGAAAATAAAGAAAAAATATATGGAGAGAGCATGAGAGCAATAAAGCAAATATGGCAAAATACTAACAATTGTTAAATCTATATGAGCAGTTATCAAGTGGGGGCGATTTTGCACCTAGATGACATTTGGCAATGTCTGGAGACATTTTTTACTGTCACAACTTGGGTGAGGGCATCTAGTGGGTAGAGGCCAGGGACACTGCCAAACATCCTACAATGCACAGAAGAGTCCCCCCACCCCCAGCAAAGGATTATCCAGCCACAAATGTCAACAGTGTCAAAGTTGAGAAACTCTAATCTAGATGAAGGATATACTACAGTTCATTTTATTATTCTTTCAAGTTTTGTGTATGTTTAAAGTTTTTCACCATAAAAAAAATTGAGGAGAACTTTAAAATAAAGACACGTAAATCGAAATACCATGTAGACTAAATAAAACATGTCCACATGGCTTGGTAACCATAGCTGGCCACCACTGGCAGTCATTTCTTCCAGTTAATAGTGGTTGACTGTGGCTGTTGTCACCGCTGCTGAATGGGTGTTTGTCCAGTTCTTACAAGTTTGCATGCAAGCCCCCACCCTCCCTGGAATTCCTCTTTCTCCTCTTCTCAGACCTAATCAGCCCAAAAGGAAGCAGGCCACATGCCCAGGGCTCTGAGCCTGCAAACTGACATCTTGGAGGCCTCTTCTCAAAAACACAAGTTTACTGTGTTTCTGTAGGGGCACAGTTTGTAGGGAGGGAGCAGCGCTTGCTCTATGTCTTTTAAGAGTAGGTGCTTTGATGCTGGCTGAGAACAAACCCCATTTCAGTGTCCGTTGCAGCTCCTGACAAAAATTAAGAGGCTGTGGCCGGCAGGTTAATTTCACCTGGAAGCTGCCTTGCCTTCTAGCAGCCTCTGTGATGCCAAGCTGGTCCCCACCAGAGCACCCCTTAGCACCATCAGGCAAAAGCCAGCTGTCCTAGCTGGGACTCCAAATGATTCACCGCATGATGCATTTGGCAGGTGCCTGGGGCAGCCCCAGCACCACAGAAAGGTTACATACGTGGAGAAAGCAAATACGAATGTCACATCGGCCCCTCTTTTTTCTCTTGAATTAATTTATCCATCCCTAACCCTGTAAAATATCCCCAAACCAAAGACCAGTGTTTTTTCCTCAAGCCTGGACCACCTCATCTCAGAGCCATTCGGGGGAGTTGTTCAAAGCAGATTTCTACCCCTGCACCCCCTTCAACCTATTGACTCAGAATCTCTGTGGATGGAACTCAAAAAAATATGCATTTTAGGAAGCTTTCCAGATTCTGATGCTCACTCGATCTGAAAACATCTGTCCCAGACACAGTTGAAACCAGGAGACTAGGGATTGAACAATCTTCTCACTGCGTGACCTTGGGCAAGGCACCTCACCTGAGCCATGAATTTCTTGCATGTAAAAGGGAATTAAAATAGCACTGTCTCATGGGGTAGTGGCGAGAACTAAATAAGAGACTGTTTACACACACCCCTGGTATAGTCCTGGCGCCTGGTGTAGTGTTCAGCAGGTGTTAGTTCCTTCTCCTAAGCAGTGATTGGTTGAACATTAGAATCACCTGGAGAGCGTTTCCAACGTATAGATACTTAGGTCCCACCCTAGAGATTCAGATTTATATAGCCTAGGGTGGGGCCTCTGGTGACAGTATTTTTTTTAAGCACTCCAGGTCATCCTAAGCAGTCCTCAAGGTTGCAAATCATACCTTAGAAGCCAACAGTAAAAATCGACATTTCTCTCTTTTCAGGAGGATGCACTTTCACTCCATTCTGCAATTCCCAAAATGCATACTGGGAGAGCCTGTGTCATGTGTGGAGGCTCCTCTACCCCAGGACCGGGTACCCCTAGACTCTACCTCCAAGCAGACCTTTCCTGGTACCTGCAGAAGGATGTAGCCAGCAAGCCCTTTTAGCTTTAGCTGGAGTCATTTTTATCCCCGGGCAGAGCTGCAAGGGGGCAGGACCAGGAAGTTGGGTCCCTGCTGGGCCCTTAGGTACCTGCAGATCCAACAGGGCTTCATCTAGCGTCACTTTCTCCCAGAGATGCCCAAAGGTTAGCTCTTCTCCCCACCTGCCCACCTCCCGCCCCGCCAACCACCAAGGAGGGCTCCTTTTAGAGCTGGTCTGCAGAAAAGGGCTGTGTGGAGATTTCAGCAGGAGTTCGCCCGAATCTGCAAGGCAGCCTACCTGTCTCTGAGCGATACTTTCCCTACCACGGCGGCGGCGACACCCGCTGCCTGCCGCAGTCCCGCATGCGTTTGTTTCTCCCCTCCCCTTAACACAGACCCCGGGAATGGAGAGGGATGGCCCAGCCGCTGGGACAGGTGACAGGACCCCCTGCGGCTGCAGGGGGTGGGTGGGGCCAGCGCTTTACTCGGTTTAGTAGGTCAAGGTTTCCTGAAGCCCCTCGGAGCTTACTTCTGTGCCGCAAGACCCCACCATCCGCCCACACGTCCTGCTGACCCAGACCAAGAAGAACTTCTTCACCTCTTCTCCCCAAATCCCGCCCCTCTGGGGAAAAAATTCATCGGATACTCTGCGTATAAATAGAAAATAATTACTAGTGAGGTAGTGATGTTCCTTCGCCTATTTTTGGTGGGTCTCTTTGTTCAGATTTTTTAGGCATGCACACGGAGCGCGTGCACACACGGGCGCGCGCGCGCACACACACACAGGCCCCCGGCGGAGGGCGAAGGGGGCGGAGGGGAGGCGGAAACAAGCGACTTGGTTAACCAGATTCAGAAAGGGGACAGTTAAAGCTTGCGCCCGGGCCATCAGCTGTTCGCAGGCGGCTAGTGGCTTCTTCGACCCCACCCGCCAGGCCCTCACCCCAAGCCCTCGCCTCTCTCCCGCGGCCGGGGGCTCAGTGCTCCCGGCTGCGTCCTCCGCCTCCAAAGTTACTGAGTTGTGCGAATCAATTTAGACACTTTTAAAAAAAGCAAAAGGCAAATAGCTCCATTAATCCCCAAATGCCTTCTCCCATCTGCTGCGACTTGCCCGTGCTGGGACTTGCATAATGCATAAGGCAGACGGGAAAGTTGACGGATCAGGGTGCTTAGAGGGTGAAGGCGCGCGGAGGGGGTCTCGGCCACTGGAGGCCGTGCCAGCCAGGGCTAGGGGTGCAGCCGTGGCCGCTGCTCCGGGCAGGGAGAGGTGGTGGCCGGAGAAAGGGATGGGGGGGGTGGTTAAGGGGCGGGGGCAGCAGAGGTCCCAATTCCAGGGACCGTGAAGCTCTGGGAAAGCGAGGCGGCCGCTCCAAGCAAAGCTTTTGTTCTCGCCCTCCCCTCACTCCACCTCCTTCGCCTCATTTTTCTCCAGTCGTACGAGTTGCAGGCGGCACTCACTCTTTCCTCCCCCCGCACACACGCGCGCGCGGGCTCACACACGCCCCCCTTCCCAGGCGGGCTCGCCTGCCCCTGTTTACCTAGAAGCTAGCATGTGGAATCGAGGGGTGCTATAGGCCCCCTCCCCAAAACCCAAGACTTGGGGACCACGGGTTCCCAGGCTGTGTGTGTCAAGTCCGCTTCAATCTTCGGGCAGGTGGGGGTGGCAAGAGGGCGAGGGGGCAGAGCCCTACACACACACACACACACACACACACACACACACACACGCTCACACGCTCACACCTACTCCCATGCCGAGCCCAGCGCCCGTTCTCCGTGCTCCAAGCCGAAGTTGGCTTCCCGGGTGACATCCCCCAGCGCAGCGGCTGGGATGCAGGAGAGGGGAGCGCCATTGCCTGGGGGGAAGAGGAGAAGGGAGAGAAGGGAGAGAGAAGCCCGGAGGGGGGACGAAAGAGAGGCAGCCCACCTGGACATGTGCTCCCTTTGGGGCCGGTGTGCCTTCTCCAGCCCCAGCTTGGTGAAGATGCCCACAAGCACCATGACGGCCACCACCCCGCAGATGATGTAGACGATGAGGTTGGTCTTGTCCTTGGTGGGGTCGTGCAAGGGGTCGTCCTTGCGCGCAGGGGGCTTGCCGGTGTTGAGCCAGAGCGGCGTGTCGTAGTTGGTGCAGGTGCTTTGGTTCAGTCGCCGCTTCTTAAACGTGCAGCAGAACCGGAAGCCACAAGTCCCGCAGCAGAAGATGAAGTCGCCCGAGCTGCAGTTGAACGGCGGGTCCCACTGGCCCATGACATCGAAGTAGCCCCGGCAGAAGTCCGGCGTGGGCGCCCGGGTCGGGGGCGCGTCCGAGACCCCAGCGCCTTCGCCGGCCTCTCCCGAGGCGGCCCCGGAGCGGTTGCCCCCTGCCAGCACCAACACGCCGCCCAGTTGCGCCAGCTGCCCGTGACCCGCTCGCTCCTGAGCCCGGCACACGCGGGCGCACAGCTCGGTGAGGAAGCAGCCGAGGAGCAGCCGGAGGACGCGGCGCATCGTGTCTCCCAGCCCGGGCTCTGCCGCTCGGCCGCCGCTGGAGCCGCTGCAGCCGCCTCTCGAGGCGCGGCCGAAGCTGCCGAGGCTGCTGCCGGGGGCTGCGAGCCGCCGCGGGCCGCACATGCAGGGAGCGGCGCGGGGCGCTCGGTGGTCGGCGGCCACTGCGCGCGGCTCAGCCCGCGTTCGCCTCCAGCGCGCCGCGCGCCGAGGGGCCGGCCGGGGAGGAGCGCGCCGGCCGGGCGGGGGGGAGCCGGTCAGGCGGGGGCCCAGGACAGTGACGGGGCCGGCCGGGGAGGAGCGCGCCGGCCGGGCGGGGGGGAGGAGCGGGGGCAAGCGCGGGGTGCAGGTCCGGCCGGCCACCGGGGGAGGCGGGGGCGGGGAGCAGGGGACAGCGGGTCGGTCCGCGCCTCGCCGGGGCCTGCGGCTCCGGACGGCCGCCCCGCGCCCGCTCGCAGTATCCCTCTCACCTCTCCAGCTCGCCAAGTGCGCTGGAAAGAGCGAAGCGACACTTGTGGAATGAAGGGAGGGCAGGAGGGAAGGGGGAGGGGAGGAGGGCGGGCAGAAGAGGCGCGGGGGGTGGGGGGGCGGGCGCGAGCTCCAGAGGGGCGGGGGCGCGGGGAGAGGTGACTCGGGCGGGCGGGCGGGAGCGAGTTGGGGGCGTGCAGAGCTGAGCCGGGCGGGCTGGGAGGAGCGAGCTCGGCAGCCGCCGAGGCGGCGGGAGGAGCTCGGGCTTCCCGGCAGGTGGAGGGCAGCGGCGGGACCTCCCGCGCCCTCTCTGGGCCGGAGGCGCGGCACAGACCTGTCCAGAGCGCAGAGGCGACTCGGCCCGTGGCTTTGTGAGGGGTGCCAGCGCAGGAGCTGCGGCCGGAATCTGCCCGCCAGGGAAGGGTGGCTCGGAGAGGATGGGGACAGACTAGATGGCTGTCACTCCGAGGCAGACTGGGTGCAGTCTGGTCAGAATCGCCCCTCCCAGGCGTGCGGGGCCGCCTCGCCCTTCCCCCGGCTGCGCCCTCCAGCCCTGCGCACAACCCGGATGGCCCAACTCTCGGGGCGGAGGCGAGGACCGAGGCTGAGCCGGGAAAGAGGGGTCACAAGCACCTGGGCCCGGGGTAAGCAAGCACCCCTGGGAGAGGGGCTGGGGCGAACTAGTCAAAGAGGCTAGAGGGGAGGGAGGGACAGCGGCAAGGCCAAGACAGTGGCATGTCCTGCAGGGTCCTTCCTGGGAACTCCCCCAGGCCCCTGGAGCTGCAGCTTTCTGTCCCTCTTCGCCCCCGCAGCGTTCCCCGCGCTCCACAGGAGGGCACACGGCGGCGGCGGCGCCTTTGCGCGCCCGGGTCTGGCGCAGCGCAAGGCCTGGGCACCCAGCCTCTGTCACCCTCCCGACCTGGGGCCCGCGCGTCGGTCTGCGGAGCCAGCTAGCCCCTGTCCCCACGGACAGCCCGCCTCCCCCGGACATCCTCACCGGGGGCTGCGGAGCTCGGCCTCGCTTCCTCAGCTTCCAGCCTGCAGTCTTCTCTCAGTGTTTCCAAATCTGCCCCCTCTCTCCCAGAGATTCCAGCTATCCACAGGCCCCCTCCCACTTCTTTCTCTCCTCTGCTTGAATTTGACTCCAGTAGCCCCCAGAACAAGATTTGCACCAAAGCTGCTACACCAAATTTAGATCTCCACACGCCCCGGCGTTTTGTTTTTAATTGCTTTAACTAAGTATACACTTGCAGTCCGCTAGGCGATTTGCAGAGAGGATGTTTCCACCACCCTCCTCTCCATTCGGCTGCAGTCAAGGGCTTTTCAGGGCATCTCCAAAGACCCCAGAAGTTGGACCACCTGTGAAATTATTTACTAGGGTCTCCATTGAAAAAGCGTGGGAGGATTTATTGATACTTTACGGCAAGTTTTCTCCAAATGAGAGGGAGTTTCATCTCCCCTGCTCTTTGAAGCAACATCACCTTAAGATGTTTTTAAAAAAGATTTGCAAATACACACCAGGGCAACACGGATAGGGCACATCCAGAAGTATTATATCCCAAGCCCACCTGGGGACGGTATGAGATTGGTTAATCCAAATTGATCAGATTCGTTATAGTAGGATCCCCCAAATTAGGGCAGTATGGTAAGTCTGTCATGACTGGCAACCCACACCCTCCACCGCCTCGTGAGTCCTACAAACACAAGCATTGGTATGTGAGCTCTAATGACGGCTGACATCTATTCAGGGCTTGCAACATACCCACTAAGCTTGCTGTTTCTAAAAGCACATCCTCATGGAAGCTTAGAGCAGTGCCTAGCATAGAGCAAACACTCTGGAAATATTTGCAGAACCATTGAATGACAGATCTCATGTCACTCCCTGTTCCTTAGGCAATGTTACCAGACCCACACAACGGAGGGTGAAACTGAGACCCAAAGCAGTTGTGTTATGCTAGCAGCCCATGGTGGCTCAGCTGGTGAGCATGGAAAGTTGACATTTGACCCAAGAAATCTGAGCCTGAGGCCTGTGTTCTAACCACTGCATAAAACAGACCTCCGGTCTCTCTAGCCACCTTATGTTATATTATGTATTTATGGTTTTTGTCTGTCTCCCCACATTGAGATGTAAACTCTGAAATGGAAAGGGCTTTGGCTTTCTGACTCTGTCCCCCGGCACCTAGAACAGTTCTAAACATGATCAGCACTCAAAATGTATGGGCTGTATTAATTAATATCTTATGCAAGACTCTGTCTTAACCCAAGAGAGGAAAGGAATTACTAGGGCAGGGATGACAAAGTTTCTGCTGTCATGACATTCATAAAGGGCGTTGGGAGACTTCTACATGCTAAATCAGAATTGGAAGGGGGTCTTCTAGCAGGTTTCCTATCCAGGAAGTGAAGGCTCAGAGAGGTTAAGGGGTGTGTGGGAGAGGACATGCCGAGCAAATGGTAAAGCCAGGGCTGGTTACAGATGCAAGACTCCTAATCCAGGGCTCTACCGCCACCCCTGTGCCCACTCCACCCACCATGGTTCCTCCCAGCAAGCATCAGGGCAGAGGTTACCCAGGGACAAGATAGATCAGTGGGTCACAGACACCTTCCAGCAAGGGTTGTGGGTTTTAAGGCACTTCTAAATTCAATTTTAAAAAGAGACTTCAGAGAAAAGAGACAAAATCTGGACAGAAAAGTCCATTTCAGAATCTGCCTCCAAGCTCTGTAAAAAAAACCTGCTTGTCACCAGGACATTTGACTCCCGTCCTCAGAGGAAACTCACTCTGGCTGCTGCTCCCGGCTTTAATTAACAGAGACTGCCCCCTGTTTGTGACAAGAAGAGTGCAGAGCTTGTGCTTTGGAAAGAGGCAGACGGGGATCCACCCTGTGTGGCTTATTAGCCAATGATTCTAAACCTTAAATCTCCTGTCCCCTTGAGCTTTTCCCAAACCAAATTCCCTTCCTGCTCCTGCTTGCTGTAGCCACTGCTGCTCTCTGGAATATTGCCCCAGCCTGCTTCCCAAGCCTTTGAAAAATATTAAAAAGAGGGAGGGAATCATCTTGGTTCCTTTTACTCTTCAAAGAAAAAGTCGATTTTCTCTAAGTGTGTGAAGTCAGTAAATATAGTCAGCATCTTCTAATCAGTATTCCACTATTGGGAACATGCCCCTGTATGGAACATGTGAGGGGGTATTTCTTGCAGGGCTCCTGGGGGCGGGGGGAGGGGGGGAGTATAAGCTACCTAATTGAAACACCTGGTAATTTCATGGAAGATGAAAAATCATATCAAATGCCCCTCCCACCACTACCAAAATGAATTCATGCAAATGTGTTGAAATTAAAATGCAGCTCTTAATGAAAGTGCTTCCTATGAAAGAGACGATGACATTATTATTTACAACACAGACACTTTTAATATCTAAAGAAGAATCTCATTTGCTCTAGCCTTAATTATGTCACACTGCAGTACACACTGCAAGGAGAATGCAATTGTACTCCCCAATAGTTACGAAAGGGAGGGATGTAACAGAGGATGTTTGTGTACCAGGACATTGCAACCAATGTCCATAAGCTACTGGACAAATTAAATCATATGTGCTGAGGCCCTCACCCAAATGAATTGTTTATTAATCATCCACTCATCAGGTGGCTTTTAGAGTTTCAAAGAGGTTTCTAAGCAACTGTTAGCCTTGAGAAAAAAGGAGATGAAACAGAAGCAGGATATAGCTAGCACCTTGCCAGTTTCAAGCAACACGCTGATGTGATGCATTTTTTTCTCTCATTTCGAAGAGACAAGGGAAGTCTTATAGAAAAAGTGAAGTCGGTCTGAAGTATAGTTGTCTCAGACTGGCAGTGGTAGGGAAGATGATTTTGTGTGGTACCCCCAACAAAGATCTTTTTTATATTATTAATAATAGTTTTATATTTATTTCCATGTGTATTCAAAAATAACACATCGAATGTGAATTCACAGGCATCAGTGTTGAAGGTGTAGTTTATTCTTTTAAGTATATCATGTAAAGTCAATTTAAGGAAAATAAATATAGTATGTACAAATAATGAGATGGAAATAAAGAAAGGAATATGAAGTGTGTGACATTAAAAACTAAAACTTAAGAGGCGTGGAGTTCGGTTTCAGGCCAGAATTTTTCGACATCAGCACTCTTGACATTTTAGAGCAGACAAATCTGTGTTGTTTGGGGGCTGCCCGGTGCATCGTGATGTATATATAGCAGCATCCCTGGACTCTACCCACTAGATGCCAGTAGCACCCCTAGTTGTGACAACCCAAATTGTTGACAGACATTGCCAAATGTCCCTAAGGAGCAAAATTAATTGAGAACCACTGAGTCATGCCTATATTTAAGTTCTGGCTCTTTCTCATAGGATGTCTATGACTTTGAATAAATCGCTCAATCTCTCCAAGCTACGGTTTTGTCATCTGTAAAATGGTAATAAGAATGAGGCCTCTCCCCAGGAATATTACAGATGGTCGATACTTTGTATAACAAGCTTGGCACAGTGAATGGAACCTCAGCAGTGCCTAATAAACAGTCACTCATGACTGTTAACCTGAAGGTGACAAGGTGTCAGGCACTGATTGAGCTCTGGGAAGACAGATGACAGCCAAGGTCCTTGCCCTCTAGGTTCTCAACATCTTCAGGAGGAGATGGAGTATAGAGAGGGAAAGTTTTAAGGGCATAGGACCTGTGCAATCACC